CTGTTGTGTCTTTGTAAAGGATTGCAGTGAGAACTCACACAGTGCTCCATCCAATAATAAAATGCAGTCTTTATTTCACATGCTTCCGTTTCTTATTAAAAATAACTTGTATAACAATGGCCCGCTCGCTTGAATCGCGTAACCCCCGGGAACCGAAGTCCTCACACACCTCTCTGTATTCCGCACACCAAGATATATATCGTACCACGCCACGCGGCGCGACACGCAACTCGCGACCGGAAAACGACCCGGTCGCCCCCTGGCCGATGACCGTGCGCACAAACGATCGCGGCCCACGCGCCAATACAAAATACAACATGTATACAACAATTTCTTTTACTATCTTCTTCCTTATTGTCACAATAATAAAGCTGCAATTATAAGATTATCAAATGTTGCTCGTGCACTTTTCTTTACTGTATCACTTACGTAACAAATCGGTTTTTCTGCGGTGCTTGATTGTCCAATTTGCTACAGAAGGCATCAACAGAAAATCGTTGACTCTCTAAAATCAGTCAATCATGCGTTAAAATTAGAGGAAATTCGATATAAATGTAATAATAATATAGTTTTTTTTGTGCGACCTACGTTTTAATAATTGGTAAAATCTCGCTGTTTTTTTCTGCACGACGTTGATATAAGCCTCTGTATGTAAGTAAATAGTTGTTGAAAAAGATAACAACGATTGTTATTTATTGACGAGATGCAGCGTGAAAATGATTAGGAGAACGCGCGACTCAAATTGAAAATGAAACGTGAAGTTGTATACTAAAATAAATCGACGAAATAAACTTTAGAATGAATAATCGCGGCTCTCTCGCGATTTTCCCGTTAGAAAGCAATAAATATCGGCCGACGTCGGACGTCAAATCCGCAAAATATCTGCCCCGCGACAAATACCACATAACTTAGCACTTACGAATACGCGGAATTTAGGAAGCTGTTTTTTAATAGCCATGCGTCCTTCTGGATATTGTATCTTTTCTCGTTTGAGTATTTTTCCTCTTCTGTCGATCTTGAACGATTTAATCGTTTGTTATGCTTACGAATCATGTCTCTTTGACAAATCCAAGATTCGGAAGAACTTCAATTGTCTCTTCTTTTTTCAGCAAAATATTCGATAAGATATTGAAATTATAGAATTATTTCTCAACAAACGTACACGAGCTTTTTTCTTCTGTCGTTATCAATTAAATTATAAATTTCTGTTATGTCTTAATGAGATATATTTTCAAATGTTTGTTTTGGTGTTTTTTCTACTTAAATTTTTTCAAAAAAACATATTTATAATATCACTCAAGTTTTTATGAATTTGTACTACTTACTTTGTTAAATGCCAAAAAAACAATTTTGTTTACGCGTGCTTTTCGCCTTCTGCGTAAGAATGAGTTAAAGAGATATATAAACAAATAACATTAACAAAAGCGAACATGTTATGTTGAAGTCGAAGCGCAAATTTGACAACAGCGAGAAAGACAGATAGACAAAGAGAGAGGAAGAGAGAGAGAGAGAGAGAGAGAGAGAGAGAGAGAGAGATAGGGATAGAGAGACGCGAAAAGAAGTAATGTTGTGGAGAGACAAACAGTTGCGGGGGAGGCAGCAATTCCCGGAGTAGCATAAAGGTGACTTCTCACGACCAAGACCTCCCATATGCCACTTAGCATCCCGTTCGGTTCGGCAAAAAGTTTTACATCCGTGTACACGCTCTGCATCTTTCTTTATCGCGGTGATAAAATGCCTTGTCTCTTTTAATCGCGATGAGGACACAGTAGATGCGCGACTGAGACGAGTACCGGTAATACTCTTAATAATTGTGTTGTGGTCACTTTTTAAAATCAAATTAGTTGTCACGATAATAAACAACGTCAATTTGACAGAGTGATCGAGCGCATAGTTACTTTTTTCACGGGTGAATCTTTGCTTCGACAGCGATGGTGAGAGGCGTTCTGTTCTGTTTACTAGTGTTGTTGTACACACTGACGTTTCTGAGCGACAGTAACGCATATCCGAGGTCGGACTTCCTAGAAAACGGAGATGGTTTTGAGCAAGAAATCGAAGATCCATTACAACCTTTTGACTGGCTAGATGAAGAGAATGACAATTTCAAATCCCAACGAGAAGAGGTTCTGCAAAAGATGCAAGAGGTCTGTGACAGAATCAATAATCTTGCAATAACATTGCTGTCGAGCCGCGCATATATAGTCATTTGTATTTGAGATAATCTGAATTTAAAATGCTTATGTTTGCGCGACTTATGTAGCTTATGCTGCATTTAAATATTCTACACTCGTAAAATAAAGCGTTTATATTAATCAATCAGAACCAAGAAAATAAAAAAAGTTTTAATCTTTTCGCTTTAATAAAACGCTTCTCTTCTCGACAAGTAGGTCTCTCCAAACGTGGACATTGTCTGTAACTGTCGGTGTGAAACTGTCTGTAACGTTTACTGCATTTATATAATTTAAAAACATAAATCGATTCGTCTTTGTTATTCTATGATTCAACTTCACCACGAAAACACATACATACAATACATTCCTAACGATATATATGAATATTAACATTGCAGATTTTGCTATGTAAATATGTGTAAAGAAATTGTACGTATTATATTAGCAAAATCATTATTGTGCTTGAACTGACCTTGCCTTCTTTCTAACACTGCAGATTTTCGGTATTCATAGCCAGAGCGACAATTTGGCACATCGCAAAGTGCCACCGCAATTCATGATGGAGCTTTACAACACCATCGCCGATCCCAATGGGGTTACGCGAGGCCGAAATCTTTATAACGCCAAGGTTGTTCGCAGTTTCGTTGAGAAGGATCATTTTTTCAGTTAGTATCAAAAAAATCAGGAAGGGAGAATCTTCCGATTTCCGATCACTCATACAATATTCGATAAAAACTGATGTAACTGTAACAATCATTATTTTTTATAAGCGCAGATATCACATCGTCGCTATTTTATTACTTCAATGTCTCGAGATTGGAAATAAACGAGTCAGTGCTAGAAGCTGAGTTACATCTCTATCGAAAAAAAACACCTTCGAAGAACTTGGCGTCGCCTTATTATCTGGTAAGTGTGGTTATCGGATTTTTTGTTTCTTTCTGATGCAAATCAAAAACTCTGTGAATTATGCGACGTCATATACGCCTTGAATTCTCGCTTTTATTTATCCGTAGATTAGAGTTTATCAGGTTCTGAACGATCGCAGCTTCGATATGCCAGATCTTCACAGACTGCTGAATGTTTGTTACGTCAGCGCGCACGTTTCTGGCTGGCAGGTATAGACTCATTAATATTTGGTTTTGAAAGTTAGTAAAATTATATTAAAAAAAAAAAGAGAGAGAGAGAGAGAGAGAGAGAGAGAGAGAGAGAGACAGACAGACAGAAAAAGAGAAATTGTAATTATTTTGTTAAATGTCAATATTAATCACATTGTTAAATGCTATTTTTTGCTATTAGGAATGTTTACAAGTAAAAATTTTATACAGGTGTTCAACGTAAAGCAAGCCGTTCTTGGGTGGGTAAGCGGCGAACCGAATCTAGGACTTCTGGTAACGGTTCAAGATCTGTTTGAGGACGAAGTATCAGTAGAGTTTTCACGTCGGAATGAGTACTATCTCGGCAAACAGCCAATATTAGTGCTCTTCAACGACGATCGCAATCTTGCCGTGGATTACATCGCGCCTCATTATTATGTTTATGAGAACCGAAACGATGAAGAAAACGCGGAAAAAAACGCGAAGAGCGAAAAGATTGATTTGAAGAATAAGTATGATAACGTCGAGTATCATAGAAAATACAAGAAGCATCATAAAGATGGTCAGCTAGAAAGAATCAAACTGGTCAACAGACGCAAACCGGAATTCTTCGAACGACAGAAAAAAATACTTACAGAAGAAAACGACGATCTTCAAGAATTGCATGAAACTTCGATATTTGGCACAGTGACAAAACGACGTCGTGGTCACCGCGACGTCACATCGTCTAGAAAGCGCTTTGCCAAGATCGTGTCACATGATGACGCGAAGATTACACAAGTGTTGACGTCGATGGACATCTACGAGAGAGCGGCATTTCGCGAGAGGCTAGGCCTGATAGTACGAGATCGCTCGTTAAAACGATCGATTGCTCAAAAGCAACGATATCGATTGCCTCGATCAGTGGGCAGTCATAACATAATAGGGGCGAGACAAGCTGAGATGAATAAGACAAACGATTGCACGAGACACGAGCTCTACGTAAATTTTCGCAACATCGGGTTGTCGTCATCGATAATTGCACCGCCCGGTTATTCAGCTTATCAATGCAAAGGTGTGTGCGAGCCACCTCTTAGTCAGGATCAACGGCCAACGAATCACGCCACAATCCAAGCGATTGTGCACAAGCTAGGTCTTGTTGAAGGCGTTCAGAGACCCTGCTGTGTGCCGACTAAGCTACTGAGAACCAGCATTCTCTTTTACGACAACAACGAGAACGTCGTGCTCAAGATGTACGACGACATGATCGTTGACAGTTGCGGATGTCGTTAAACAACCTCTTGCGTGTCAGAGTAAAGAGAACTTCCGTTTGCGACACTAAGAGGTTTTGAGGAAAATTGTATTCATTATGATTATATATGCTGCGACAAGAAAAAGATGTCAGAGAGAAAGAAAGATAGATAGATAGATAGATAGGTAAGTAGATAGATAGATAGATGCTTTATTTATCAAGTGTTCCGGGAAAAATTCCTCTTAAGCGCAATATTACAATTCTTTAAGGATACAAGATTAAAGTGAATCTTCTTAAGGATAAAAGTAAGTGAGTATCAGAAAATATACAAAAAAGAATAAAATAAAATAAAATCTGAATAAAATAAAATAAAAATATAAAATATAAGGAAAATCAAAATTAATCAATCGAAAAAATTAATATAAAGCAACGAAACAATGATAGCAGTATACAAAAATAGAAATATACACGCAAATAGAAAAAGTAATACAAAATGATGCAAAATAAGTGTAACAGGAAACAGATTAATAAAAGAAAGCAGTAACAAAAATTAATCAAATTATACATTATCCGCATAAAGCAATTCGTATAATTTCTTTTTAAATTCAAAGAATAGTCTATTACGGACATCCACTGGAATACTATTCCATAGATCCACTGAGACACATCTGAAAGACCGTCTGAATAGTTCAGTGCGACATAAAGAAAGAAAGAATAAGGTCATCATCCTCAGCACGAGTGCCACGCTGCACAACTGAATGTCTAAATTCATATGTATTAAATAAAATCTTAGGTCGCTGTGATTTCAAAAATTTAAAGAGCAAGCAGCTGATGAGGAACATCCTCCGAGATTTTACTTTGAGCCATTTTAATTTTTCATAAGACGGTGTAACGTGCTCAAACCATTTAATTTGAAAAATAAACCTAATACATCTATTGAATGCTCTTTGCAGTCGTAGGTTATCCTTTTCAGTTATATCCGTCATAAGTGTACAACAATAGTCCAGAAACGGAGAGATAAGTGGCGTGACCAATCTCGCACAAAGTTCAGACAAGAAAAGATATTTGTAAATCTTCAGCTGATGCAACAAAGCATTTATATTCGAGATAACAATAGAAAGGTGAACATCCCATGATAGAGTGTCAGTCAAAATGACATCTAGATATGAGACAAATCTCTTGAAGGGGATATTAGCATTGTTAACAATAATTTGAGGCATGGAAGGTAGGTCAATATTTCGTATAAATCTTGCTGTTCCAATAATCATGACTGTGGTTTTATCTTCATTTAACTTTAGTCCATTCTGAGATGTCCAGCCTACAACACTTCGGATGTCAGCATTAACTTTAGATATGGCCAAGGTTCGGTAGTGTCTAGTTAAAAAGATAAAAGTTAAGTTAAAAAGTTAAAAAGTTAAATAATTTTAACTTTATCTAGTTACATTTTTAGATTCTTATCTTTTAACTTTATTTAGTTATATTTTATCGGTAACTAGTAACTTTTTATTTCAACTCTCTTGAATCTACTATAGCCATAAGATTTTTTATTTGTTTGCATACAAAACGGAACATATTTCTCTCGTCGTATGATCATAATTAATTTTACATGTTTATAGGCCGAAAAATTCGACCAATCACAAAGCTCAGAATGATTCGTTTTATATGCAAATAA